CCCAGAATAATAATTAACCAAATATCTGGGCACTTGATGGCCCAGTCAGGGTGACATATAACATTAACCATCACAGTGACATTACAGTTTCTGCCACAAAGATATTAGTGAAAACATTTAATTTCTTTCTTTTCTGTTTCAGCTGTTTTCTAATTTATAATATATATACATACATATATATATACAGACACAAAACTTTTAGTTACAGAGATATTATACAGATAAAATAAATGTTTAATTCTAAACAAAAACGTTCTCCAATGTCAAGATATTTTTTTATCAACTCCAGTGTCTTTTATTTTGTAAATAATTTATAAAAACAGAATCATTTATTATATTTTGTTTTGTGACCTACATTTTTCTACTGGAACTATATACTTTGAATATTTTTCTGCCACAAAATGGTCTTCTGTGACAATTTTAATGACTGCAGAACAGTTTATTGAATGGATATATGATATTCTTCAGTCAATCCTCTATTGTTGGATATTTAGGTGGTTTCCAATTTTTCACATTATATGGAACCCTATTACACCTTTGTTATCTCTTAATCTTTAGTTACAAAAGCAATACAGGCATGCCCTTTATAAATAGCTAAAACAATACAAAATCATGTAAGATAAAAAGCAAATTTCCCTATTTATATTCACCAGCACTTCTGTTTCTCAGCATTTGTATTCCCCATGGGCAACCACTGTTAATAGTTCAGTTTATATGCTTCTGAATGTTTTTCTTTTGTTTTTATTTTCTGACTCCTTTTTTTCTCCTTCCATTCTATTAACCTAATATAGCCTTTTTTTTCTGCTCTTTTCATGCTCAGCTCCAAGCAACCTCTTCACTCTTCTTGGTTTCTGGTTAGTCTGGGAAACCAGAGAAGCGTATCTGTTAGAATTATGTATAAATTTAGACAAAATAATTTATGAGTGAAGGCGTCACATCTCTCTGATTAAAGAGCATGAACCTCACTGGTTACCCTTTCTGTTTTGCATTTTGACTACTAGTAGGCCTATTAAAACTGTCCCTTGGCATCAACAGGGTCAGATAGTTGAAAAAGCAAGCTTCAAATCAGTGAAGTGTTACTATCTTTACTTTTCATAAGCTAAAAGTGAACTACATTTAAGAAGCTTTTTATGTTAACTTTTCATGTGTTCATACAACTGACCATGAAAGAAAAATTCTATCAAACAGAAGAACAGCAATTAGAGATTTTTTTTTTTTTAGTGTATTCTCATTCATTAACTATTTACTGAGTGTTTGCCATGTGCCAGGCACTGCACTGTATAGATATTAGGAATGTAAAAATAAAAAAATCAAAGGTCTTTAAAAAGTATTTTTTTTTAAAGCTTTCACAAATACTATTTAGGAAGCACCAAACAGGGTATTTGATTGTCTCCTTTGCCTGGGTTACAGCTTTAAAATCTGCATTTCAGCATTTTGTCTCTCAGAGGCATGTGGCAGGAATTTAGTTTTCTGTTGATAACACACTGGCATTTGAGCCTCTGTGTATTTCTCTGCGTTTTCTTGCCACCACAATTATAGTTATGGCTTAGCAGCTGCAGCAGCATTTAGCTTTAGAGCAAAAGGGAAGGCCTCTGGCAGCCCAAGTAGACAGATATCTTACGTATCCGGACTCCTTTCAGGTACTTTTGGTAAAACTAAGTCCAGAGACTTGGCCCCCTTGTCTAATTGGCACTTCCACCCTTATCTAATGCACACACTTTCTTCTTTTTTTTAAACTATGAAAATTTCTAAAATGCCAGGAGTTTTGTTAGGAGTGAATAGGGAAGTTTGGAGTGTTTTTAATCCTGTGCTCAATGTTGTTCATAATATTAGAAGAGCAGCAGAGCCATGAATTCAGTCATGCTCTTGTCTAAAGCAGCCTACTTTGACTTAAGTGCTTCTCAAATGAAAAAAGACCCAGGGCTTTAGTTGACAGTAAATGAAACCTGAGCCAGTGATGTGACCTGGCTGCCAAAACAAGCAAATGTGATCTGAATCAGCATTAATAGAAGGCTGGTAGCTGGAACAAGAAAGGTCATAGTCCCAGAGTATACTCCGCAGTGGTCAGGTCACACCTGAAGGACGGTGTTTCCTCCTGGGTACCTCATTTTACGTGTGATGTGGACAAGTTGGAGTATGCCCCAGTTGGGCAACAGGATGATGAATGACCTAGAAACTACATCTCTTGAGGAAGAGTCAGAGGAACCAAAGTAGTTTACCTTGGGAACTAGAAGGCATGAAGCTGTGGGATAACCATTTTCAAACATTTGCAGAGCTATCATGGAGAAGAGTTGCTTCCTCTGTGTAATCTCAGCAAGCACAATTTAGACCAATGGGTGTATATTACAAAGTGGCTGATCTTGTCTCCTTAAAGAAGAATCTTCTAGCCCTTATGTACATCCAGAAAATAGTAGCTTTGTAAGGTAGTGACTTTACCTTAATGAGGGGTGTTAGGGCTACAACTGGCTGACCAAACATCCAAGGTTCATGAATAGGATGGTAGGTTTGAAAGGATTACATGATTCAAGCTCCTTTCAGATTCAAAGTTTCTAATTACAGAAATTTAAGAGGGAAAAAAAGACATTAGTGCTTTTTCCTTTAAATCTCATACAAATATTAACCACAAAGATATGTTAAAATTGATGTTAAGAGAAAATACCGGTTATGAAGGTAGAAGGCAAAAAACTATAGGAACTTCTCTGTTTTCCCTGGTGGTTGTGAATTTTGTTTTAGAGTGTTTGTTTTTTTCAAAGCAGATTGAATGATTTTTTTTTTTTTTTTACTATTAAGATCCTTTAGAGCCTTGCTATGCTTTCTTTCTCATCAAACTTACGTTCATCTTAGTATGTTGTTTGCAGAATACTGTATTTTGATAAGATTACTCTTAATCCAAAATTATAAAGCAGCATTTTGGGGAATAGCAATCTGTATCCACATGTCAAATAACCAGCCCTGTGGAACAGTGGGTGTTTAAAGTTCATTAATCATTAATAATGAGGCAGCATCCAGTAAAACGTGTGTGCTGGGATATTGGCCCTTCCCGACAACTGGTGAAGTTATGAGGCTGGGAATGATCATTTTACCAATGCAGAAACTGAGTCTTTGGTTGAATAGCTTGCCTACTATGATGACGAGTGGAGCTGGCTCTAGAATCCAAAACTTCTGATTTCTATCCTAGTGTTATTTCTAATACTGTTTTTAATACTAAAGGCTACTGTTCTTTCCTAATAGTGGGCTTAGTGACTTAATTGCAGAATATAGTTTTTCTTTCTTAACTACAGTGGTTCTCTGGAGTAGGAGGTTAAATTACTTTAGCCAAAGAGTTGGCCTTTAGCTACAATACTGTCCCTAGTTCATCTTACGTCCTAAAGAAAGTCTATGGCAAACATCACCACTGATGTCTGAGGATACTTGACCCTCTTCTTGAAAACAGGAATGCTAACAGTTACTCCAAATAAAAAATATTCTAAGGATGTGAACGGAAGTGTTTGTCAAAAGCGGGAGATTTGACTGGGCAATGCAAAATGTTTGTCAAAAGGGGTAGATTTGACTGGGCAGTGCAAATCTGGGCTCAGGCTGACAGATCAAGGTTTGAATCTCTGTTCTGCCACCTATTGGCTGTGACATCGTTGTCATCTCATGAAGCCTCAGGATCATTATCTGTAAAATGGGAATAATAATAACAGCAGGATTTGCCTTTTGGAGCTGTTGGGAGGATTAGATAAGGTAATGTGTATAAAGCATGGATATTGTGTTGTTTTTTAAAAATACACTTATTGTGGGTTAATATCCATTGTCTTTTACTGTTGGGGTATTATTGTGTGTTTCCTAGTTATTTTTACTGCACATGTTATACTCAACATGGTAGGTGCAAATAAATCCTAGCCAGTAACCTCAGTAGCAATTCAACTGAGCAAGTGAAGCACCTTCTGGGTGCCCAATCCAGCACTAGTCTCTGAGAATACAAAGTTGCCTGAGACTAGGCCCTTGCTAAGAGAGAGTGATTCATAGGTTGTTGTGGAGGTCAACATGCTGCTCCAAAATGTTCTGGAGACGTGTGAGTGTTGAGTGACTCACAAGCAAGGGAAAAGGTGAGTGAAAGCCTAGAACTCTATTTTTTTTAATTAATTATTTTTAGAGAACGAGGAAGGGAGAAAGGGAGAAATACAATACATCCACGCCAGAGAGAAACTTCAATGAGTTGCCACTCCTATGCCCCCCCCCACCTCCCAGAGACTGAACCCGCAACCAAGGCATGTGCCCTGACCAAGAATTCAACCTGCAACCTTTTGCTTTGCAGGATGACACCCAACCAAACCAGGATGAAAGCAGAGAACTGTTAATAAACAGACTGAGTGAAGTGTAAGCTGGCTTGGTAGCTCAGTTGGTTGGAGTGTTCCTCCTCCACCAAAAGGTGGTAGGTTCCATTCTGGGTCAGGCTACAAACAAGTTTTGGATTCCATCCCAGTCCAGGCATGAGTGAAAGACAGCTGATGATGTTTCTCTCTCATGTAGATGTTTCGCTTTCTCTTTCCCTTCCTCTCTCTCTAAAGTCAATAAGCATATCAAAAATTTTTGCTAAAGTCAAGAAAAACAAAGCATCAGGTGATGATTAAAAAATAATGGGGTCTACCTACTAGCCATGATGTGAAGATTCAGAGAGGTAATATTTTTAAAGTATTTGCTTTTCAAATCAGGTGGCATAGTAAGTGTTCAATGTTTGCCACCATTACCATTATGTTTTAATTTAATAATATCTTATAATTATTAACCCTGTCATTCCAAAAAATCATTCACTCCTTGATTGGTGGATTGAGAAGGAAGGTGCCAGGATTCATAAAGCACCAGTGCAGTCTTGAAGGCTTTAAGACAAGGCGGCCAGCGGCGGACGCACCCTCGTCTAGTGCCAGCAGGACGTCCCACGTCCAAGTGGAGGTGGGGAGGAACCTAGCCGAGCTGGGCTCGTAGGGTCACGTGGGCCTCGGCCCCGCCTCGGCGGAGCCCGGCCTCCGGGGCTGCGGCAGCGGTGGCTGCGCCTGCGCAGAGCCGAGCGCTCTGTGGCCGGGACCGCGGTTGAGGGGGCGCGAACAGCAAAGGGGTACGAACAGCAAGTAGCCGGCGGATGGCTTTGCGGGATCTGGCAGGCTCGGGGCCGTGCTCCCGCGGGCCGCTGGCGGAGGCGGCGGAGGCGGCGGCGGAGGATCGCGAGGCGCCGCCCTTGGTGGCGACTGGAGCCACGCCGGAGGAAGATGAAGAAGAGGACGGCCGTGGCCCGGGCCTGCTGCGTTGGGATGGCTTCTCGGCCTGGCTGCACTGCGTGTGTGTGGTGGGCTTCGACCTGGAGCTGGGCCAAGCCGTGGAGGTGAGGCCCAGCTGCAACGCCGTCCCTCCACCGTGTCCCAGTCCTCCGCGCCGGCTCCGCTCCAGCAGAGGGGCGGGCCAGCCGGTCTGGACCCTGGCCGCCGCGCATCCGGGCGTGGCTGGCCGCCCCTCCGCCCATCGGGCCGGACTGTGGTCCATTAGCAATTCCCGTGGGAGGATCCTGGGCTGCGGCTAGGGGTGAAAAGTTCTCTCAGGGCCCTTCCTAAATGCTTGTTGTGTGTGTGTGTGTGTGTGTGTGTGTGTGTGCGCGCGTGCGTGCGTGCGTGTGTGTATATATATATATTTTTTTTAAATCCGGTGTTACAAGAATACATAAGTGGTTAGCGGCACCCGGAGGAGGCTGCTGGCAGGATGTTTGGCACTCTTTCAGGAAGCAAACAATGCCCCTGGCATATGGTAAAATATAACAGCCCAGCCTCTCACAACAAACTTTTTTTAGACTCAGAATTGTTTTGGTCATTCACAGTGGTAACTCTTGACTTAGAGCATTCCATTGAGCTTGAGCCGAAATGCTTATCTCAGCATGTCTTTTCTCCTTTTCCTCCTCTTGTTCCTCATTTCTGTTATTTCTTGCTGTTGCTTCTGAAACGTTTGGCCTGAAAGTTAGTATCAAGGTGGATACAGGGAAAGTCGTTTGTGAATCTGTCAAATTTTCCATTTTTATGGCGCCTATTGAAAGGCCTTTGAATTTTACCAGTTCATGACATTGTGTAGGGTACCTTTTGTAGGATAAAAGATTGCTTGTCTTTATATGTCCAAGAAAAACGTGATCAGAAGGATGTACGTTTCAAAGATTTTTGGGGGGTTGTGATGACATTTTAATGAACAATTTCATTCTTATTTCAGTGACATGAGTTGGCTACCAAAATTGCCCAGGGAGGTCTTTCTTAATGTGGAGACACTGCTTTTACATTTAGCTTGTCTTCTCTGTTTTATCATTATGCAGCTCCATACACTGTTTCCAAGAAGATCTAGGCATTATGCTGGTTGCTGGGCCTACAGATAGGAACGATGTGCTTTAAACTATATTTGCAGATTGAGACGACAGTTTAGGGGAGAACCAATAATTAATCACAGTAGCACAGAGGGACAAATGCAGTGCTTGGCACATAGTGGTGTTCAGTAAATACTTGCTGATAGAATGAATGAATACAGGAATAATTATTTATCTTATTGAGATAGAAATAATGGATCCCAAAGAATTTGAAGAAGAGGCTTATAAACCATCTATCGATTACATTGACATGTTAGCCTCAAGTTATACGTATAGCAAAATACAATTTAACCAGAAAGCAATAGGTTGGGTTGTAGTTGATTGCATTTTTTTAGATATTTTATTATTTTTTAAAAGATTTTTATTTATTTTTATACAGAGGGTCAGGGAGGGGGAAACTGGGAGAAAAACATCAATGTGTGGTTGCCTCTCATGCACCACCTACTGGGGACCTGACCCACAACCCAAGGATGTGCCTTGAATGGGATCGAACCAACAACCCTTTGGTTCACAGGCTGATACTCAATCCACTGAGCCACACCAGCCAGGGCTGATTGCATTTTTATATAGCTAAAGAAAATCTTTTTGGGCTCTCATTATTTGACACACTTTTGATAACATGAATATGTTTTTCTGACCAAATAAACCAATACTTAGCATAATTGTGGTGCTACAAAAACGATCATTAAAGGTCTTACTTTGAATTTCATTTTCCATGGCATGTGCTAACTGTACAGAGTTTTCTTTAGGTCAGTAGTTCATAATTTGCATACCAAAACTTAAAAAAACATATATGATGAACTTCATGAACTCTCTATTAGGAAAATGCTCACTAATAAAAAAATACATATTTGCTTCCATGTACTATCTGGGGGGTTATGTATAGACTTTATTGTCCATTGTCCCTAGATTAAGAATCAGTGATTTTAGAAGATGTAGGATGAGAGTGGGGAAGATTCCCTAATGAAGGATCCAAAGACAAACACATTAAGTGGGATGCAACACTACTTAATTTTGTTTTGTTTTCCTGAGAGATGTAGAATATTGCATTTTGTCACTTTTAAAATAAAGGGAAACTTGAAACTTATGTGGTCCTATTAACCAGTGTTAACTCCAATAAGTATAATTTAAAAAAGAAAAAAAAATTAATGTGACACAATAGTTGAAAAATATATAGTATTTATCTTTGTATTACAGCTATATTCAGGCCAAAAATGGACAGTAAAGGTGGCTGTAATGGGACAAGAAGGTGAGTGTAGAATTGTGTTGGGGAAGTGACTTATAGTAGTCCAGCAGTACTTCCTATAATGCACAACCATTGGGATTGAAAAAGGAAATTAATTAAAGATCAGATTAAAAACTAAGTTTTGACAATAATATCCTAGAATCCACCTGTGTTATTAAAAAGTCATTGAATCTTAGGCTTGAGAAAGACTTGAGAATCTGTTCTGCCATGACAGAAAAGAGCATTTGCAGATTTTAAACAAATGAATAAACAGTGCCACTTATATAAGTTTAAACCCCTACTAAAGTGACAGTATAGAATGTTAATCAGGAACTCTAGAGCTGGACTGCCTCGGTTTGAATCTCTGTAACTTCGGATACATTACTTTGCTTGTCAGCCTCATGCTCCTCCTCTGTAACAGGATAACAGTACAGGTGTCTTGGCATTGTTGTGGGAATTAGATTAAGTTAATGTTTGTGAAGCATTTGGAACAGTGCCTGGGTCCCTGTAAGACCTATGTGAGTCTGTATTTGGGAAGCATTGAGATTCCCTTTTTCATTTTCAACTGGGAGAACCCCTAACTTTTGCTTTGTGAAGATGAGGCTTTGGACTTCAGTTTTCACACTTGTAAAATGAAGTTGAGTTACTTAAGTCAATACTTTTTTTTTTTTTTAAGTAGGGGGATGGTTTTCCCCTGTGTTAAGTACAAAGCTAATGTGGTATCTCAATGGCTAATCTGGTTGAAAATGGAGCTTTTTTGTGAATATTTGGTTGTAAACAACAGAAACTAAGCTACAGGCCACAGAGGTGTTTTAAGATATCCAAGATACAAACCTAGTGGAGTTTCAGAAAATGGCTAAAATCCAGAACAGGGAAGCCCCTTGTTTGTGCCTTTGTTTTATGGATTTTGTTCATGCTTCATGCTGCCTGCAGATTGACTTCTCTGCTTTATCGTGGTCATCTTTATGGTGGTAACGTTGCCCCTTTCAGCCTCATAAGTGGAGTGTAAATGTCAGTCTCATTCCAAACACCAGAGGAAGGTACTCAGGCCTGGTTTGGGGCAGTATCTCACTCTGATACAATCAGCTGTAAGATCTGGGTGGCTGGGGGATTTGTCCCTGTTGCATGAAACCTTCGTGGGCGAGGCGGGACTGGACGGGACGGGACGGGGCGGGGCGGTGGGAGGCCGGAAGCTGTCCTGAGTGAAGGAGACAGTTACAGGGAGGGTGACTTTTGAGCTAGAAGAGCCTGCAAAAGGTGTAGACTGCGGGAGGTGTGCTTAGCTTCTTTTTCCCCCTTTGGTGGCCCTGAGGCATCATCAGAGAATCCAAGTGTCCCCTGGAACAGGTTTGAAATTTTCTGGATTTTATATAGTCTGTGTTACTTTCAGATCTGAAGTTACCTGATTATTTAGTAAAATCTTAATTATCTAAATGCAGAATTACCTCATTTATTCAAGTTTTTTTCTTCCTGTTTGAGTAATAATATGCTCATGGTTGAAAACTTGGCAAGAAAGAAAATTATAAACACTAGAAAACATCACTCATAATTATACTAAGAAACAACTATTAATATTTGGCTTTTTTGTTAATTCTTTTTTTCTTTGTATAATTTCATATCTGTCAAGGATTAATTTGATTGTTAGGAACAGAAACCCTCTCAAATAAATTTAAGTAGAAAGAGATTGATTGTGAGGGGTCTCTTGGAACACAGATGTAGGAAACAGGAATGAACCTCATGGGACTTGGAAAGCACCAAAGGCTTTTTTGCCTTTGTCTCTAGAGCTGTGTGGTCTTTTGTCTCTGCTTCTCTTTCCGAGTCTGTTCCATTCTTCATGCTAAGGGTGGTTTCCTCTACAAGCATCTCAGTTTCAGCTCCCCCAGTTTACTTGACTTTGAGTTCCCCTGTGGTACTGATTTGAGTTACTCTACTTTTGTATTCTGTAATCAGACTGAAGTGTAATTCAAATACTGGAGTATCTGATTGGCTCAGCATGGGTCAGGTGCTCTGTTTTATTCAGGAGATAGGGTCCCAGTAAAAGTAGTGGCTACTTAGGCTCACCCTTGCAGAAGGAGGAAGGGGACACTTCCAAAGCATGGGCTGGGCAGTAGACTGCCAAACAGGACTACTCTAAGAGTCTGCTTTTGGTGATAAACATTCTCATAAACAATTTGCCAGATAATTAAAGAGTCTTCATAAATACACTTTTATGGGCTCTAATTTATTTTACCATTTTTGTTAATTTTGATATTTAGTAGTTTCCTTTTTATTCTTCACAGTAGACAGATTTATTGGCTGTCTGCATGCACATCTTAGAGATGTTCTGCATTTTTGAAGGTTTTTAAATCATGTGAACACACAACGTCATAAAGGGTTGACATTTCTGTAATTTGTGGTGCCTTCCTGAACCTCTCTGGCCTCTGATTTTGTAAGAATTGAGGGCATCATTGGTGGCTTTCCCCTTGTTAAAGGTTATGACCTATCAGTTTCTGGACAGAATTTCAGTCTAGTGAAAAGTGCCCAAGTTTTGGGGTTTTGAACGTTTGTTACTTGTCTGAATTTTGGCCAGTTTCTTCAATTCTTTGAGTTATGTTTTCCTCAAATATAAAGTGGGAAGATAATATTGTGAGGATGTTGGAGGTACCAAATGAGGTAATGTATGTAAAAATTAATGCCTGTCATTTAATGCATGCCCAATATATGTTTCTTTTATAGTCGGTGTCCTTGCGCATTCATTAATCAGTGTGGGACTGTTCTTGGC